GCCAGCGAATGATCATCTCCAACAAAAGCATTAGACGAGACGTAAGGAATGACCATGCCCATGGTCCTAAGCATCACCCATCGCAGGATAAAGGCAGTTGATACAATAGCCGTAATACATCTGCCCATCTGCAACAAGTGGGAATAAAACCCTGAGTACGAGAAGGTACTCAGCTAGACTTACCCGACATAACCGAAAATAAATGACACCAAGGATTATGAAGGCTTTATAGTAGGGTAGCTGACTCATTTGCAAAAGAAGCATTTTTAGCATTTCAAGAACCTTTCTAAAAGCATTATTGCCAAGTTAATTATTATGAACCTGTTGACTAGATTTGCACCTATACTAGAGTAAACATGTGATTAAGCAATTAATGATAATCACTGATCATTAAACAACTTTCATACTGTCATATTCACTATAACTGTCCAAGTGTTCCATAAACATTTACTACGATGAAGTCACTCAAGTCAAGTGCTCACTATCCAGGAGCGATGGCGATTCGAATCGATTCCTAACCAGCTGGTGATTTATTCCTTACACAAATCTCACTCACCCGCTAAAGTGAGATATTGATCACCGAGTCAACTTTCTAGGTATCTCGAGTTTGCCAGGAACCACATGTACCCGGGGGCCGACCGACTGCACTTTGGTCTTATCATCCCGCCCCCGTGTCCTACCACACCTGCTTCGCACAAGGCGTCATGGGCAATCTACTCGGCCCGAAAATCTCCCGACTTCACCTTCATGGAAGGAAGGTACTTTATCCGCCCACTAAATGTAAGGCATGCGTTCAACATGACTCGAGGCCCAACAACGGTCGGTCCTTAATCGACCTGACGGAAACACTACAGGTCCAAAACTCTCGCAAGTCTCCGCCTTGGTCTCAACTTCATTTAACACTTAGTTATACCATGACTTCATAGCCATCCAAGCGAGATCCGTGTAACCACCTATAGCTCGCAGTGACAGAAATCACCCGACTTCTACCGGTCTAAGCCACCAAGCATTGACTCATCATGGATACCGTGGTAACAAGGATATAGTATAACAAAGGTAAACAAGGTATAATGCAAAGAACGGTTGCAAACAACTCCTGAACGTAATGCATAAATTTAAAGTAAATCATTTAATGAAATCATTGCAAACCGGGAGAAAGATGCTCTAGGGCTTGCCTCTCTCGAAGGAGCTTCGGGCGATGATCGGGCACTTCCTGAAGTTCTTCAACGTCCTCCTCGCTCGTCGGCTTCGCACTTCCTCTTCTCGCACTCGAAGCTGCTCCTCGGGCTCCTCGAATGACGACTAGGTTCTCGGTTTGCGATCATCCCAGATGATGCAATGCGTGTAAGTGCCTATGCAATCGGTGCATCGGATGAGATGAATACAATGGATATGTTCGAATGCAAGGTAGTCACATCATCCAAGAAAATATACCACAAGCACATGTCATCTACTGCATTCTCTTCTACTACTAATAGGTTAAGTCAACACCCTTATCAAATGCTTCAAAGATACACCAAAGCTATTATTATTAACTAATCTTGTATTAAAGAGGATTATTTTATTTCCTTTTAAACTAGGGCTACAACAGCAACCTATATTTTTGGTGCTTATAAAAATCTAAGAAAATTACAATAGCATAGTACTACTCTAAGTAGACTACCATAAAAGTTTCATGGCATTTGGATAAGTAAAATAGTCTACACAAAAATGACAAGCTATGGCATGATCATGAACATAAAAATACTTTGTACTGTGAAAAGTGTCAAACAACAGAATTAGAATTTTTCCTATGTTCTACATAGCATACAATGACTGTACAAAATTTATCACATGTATGTTTTATACAAAGTTTGCTCTCTAACAAAAATAACAAAAATTAGCCATTAAAGGCACTTGAACTACACTTTAAAATTTTCCCACAGCACATGCATGAAACTTATTTTTCCTAGGAAGTACATTACATAAGAAGATTAACAAACTTAGAATCATATTTTTCTGAAGCCTATAGATTTTTCTACACATTTTTCAAGTTATCAGCAATATACATGATTAAATAAAATCCTACAGAAAAGTATCCCAAAAATGACATGCAATAATTTTCCCAAGTAGATCTGCTGATAAGGAATCTAGCAAAATTTGTTTCAACAAATTTGGAGCAAAAAGGAGTACACAAACATTTTCTAAAGCATTTAAATAGGATTCTGAAAAATCATTTTGGAAATACTTTTAAACTTCATGCTCAAATCTGCTAGATTCACCCGGTTATCCACCCACAACCCGCGCCAGAGAGACAGACAGGCGGGACCCAGTGGGTCACCCGGCCCCACTGGTCAGCCGACCGGAGGCAGGGGATGGCCGTGCCCGGCCGGATTTTCACCGGCGGTGTGGTTGCTACCTACGGACTCCACAAGGGGAGGCGTACCTGCTGGTGCTACTTGCGCGGCCAGAGGACCCCCAGAGCGAGGTGACCGACGGTCATGGCGCTGTGGTGGCGCCGCAGGTGGCGGTCTTGGCTGTTCCGGCGCAAAGGTGGCGGAGCGGCGACTTCGGCTCATGAATCGAAAACCGCCATTGCGAGGCGGGCACGGTGCGCACGAAAATAGGAAGAGAGGAAGGCGGATCAGGGCTGGCCACGGAGGCGTGCGCGCGACGGCCGAGCTCCGGCGAGTGACGGCGTGAAGGAAAAAAACTCAAGGCGAGGCCTCACCTCCTCGATTCATGAGGCGAGCAAGGTCAACAAGCGGCGCGCGATGGCAGATGCTTGTGGCGCGAAGGAAATGGTGCGGTGCGGTGGGTGGTGGAAATGCGCGGCTGGCGCTGAGCTGCGCCAGTACTTCTTCTTTACTTCTTCTTGAGTAGGAGGGAGCGAGCGAAATGAGGCGAGTGGGGAGAAGCGGGGCGCTGGCGGGAGCTTAAGCGAGGCGAGCGCGGCGGGGGACCAGCAGGCGCCACCGGCGGGCGGCCGCCGCGTCACGGTCGCCACGCGGTGGCCATCGCCTGAGCGCGGTCGGGGCACGGCGCGCGGCCCGCGGGAGGGAGGCCGAGCTAGGCCGGGCCGGCTTCTTGAATCACTTGGAAGTGAGGCGCAAGGCCCACGAAGGTAAAAACAAGATTTTTCAAATTAATTTGAATTCATTTTTCATTCAAACGAATTTTTGGACTAAATCAAAGCAGTTTCAAACTTTGGACCAAAAATAAAAGTTGCTCAAAATTTTATCCTCTACAACTTTGATTTTAAGACCAACGTCCAATTTATTATAGATTTTGAATTATAAAATTAAAGTCAATTTTGACTCAAACCCTAATTTTTGGAGAATTATTTTTAAAGCAAAATTTGGCAATAATTCAAATACAAACCTTGCTCCAAAAATTGTGATAAACAATTCTAGATGATTTACAATCATAACCAAACAAGTTCTACTAACCTAGCAAGCAAAATCAGGGCAAAACAATTCTAACTAAGGTATGCAACATTCAGGTTTCACAACATGTTTCAGATGTTTCAAAGCAATGTTTCAATTGTTATTCACACGATTAAGCATGTATGCTTTGGATGCTTGATGATGCATGCTATGCATGATTTGCAGTGCCTAAATATAGGCATAACACTGGGGTGTTACAAAGTGCTACTCCGCACGAGGGCGTTTGGTGCAGCTCCGCCCGCTTCAGTGTTGAAGCCGGTGTATGAGCCTCACTAAACGGCCTTACTAAAGATTTTAGTTTGTGACGTATCATTTTTAAAATATTAGATTTTTTACTAAAATAAAAAAATCCATAACAAAACAAAAACGCTCCACCCACCATGGATAAGGTACCCACTTTAATGGCTTCTATAAGGCTGCTTTCCAGAAGTGCAGCAGCCAGCTATACGTTGGTGTCGTGCAAATTCAAGTTGAGGCTCTGTTTAGATTTTTTTTTTGAGATAATAATAGTTAGCTGCTAATAATTATCTCTTTGGATCCAAATAGATATAGTCAATAATTCAACTAATTATTAGTTCAATACTCAAGTAACAGTTATTTCACTAGTTGGACCAAACTAGCTAATAGTAACTAATATTAGCTACGATCTATTAGCTACCTAATTATTAGTACTCCTTCTGTTCCAAATTATAAGACATTTTAGCTTTTCTAGATTCATAGATTTGCTACACACCTAGATATATGTTATGTCCAGATACATAATAAAAGCTTCCCCTCCGTTCCAAATTATAAGTCGCTTTGATTTTTTTGGTACATCTATTTAGATATAATATTATGTCTACATACATAGCAAAATCGATGAACCAAAAATGTCAAAGCAACTTATAATTTAGAATGAAAGAAGTATGAATTTAGAAATACCAAAATATCTTATGATTTGAGATGAAGTAAGCAGCTAATAGATCCAAACATGCTCCTATTGTAATCCCAAGTACAAGTATAGGAGTAGTACTCTTGGTTGTGGCACAACATGTTACCTTTGTCCAACTACAGTATGAGTACAATTTATTGGCCTCGCTTGACTTGGCCCGCTTTGGGTTGCGTCCAAGCACGCCTTTGCTGACTTCACTCCCAGTCAACCGTGTCAAAATCAGAAAAGGCGTCAAAGAATATCACTAGCAGTATCCTTGTGTTATATAAAAACAAAAAGGGAAATGATAAAATAAAACAAAACAAATGCCTGGAGCAAACTCAGTTCATTGATCACCGTGCCTTCCAGCTCCTGCTGCGTTGCTGATTGTCCCCTGCCGAATTCGTCTTTGCCGGGCGCGGCGCCTGGCCGGCCGGCTGCAGCGGCAGCGCAGCAACCCCTCCGCTCCGGCACTCCCACCCCACGTCCTCCCCCACGCCGTATATAACAATTCAACCCGGCCCGGCTCTCCTCTCCTCAGCTCGATCGATCGCATCCCAAACCCCGGCCCCCACGCTCCGCGACACCGCTCACCACCACCACACCGCGCTCGCCGCCTCGAGGAGTCCCATCCCACTCCCACCAAACGAATCCGAGCGACGCCCATGGAGGCGGCGGCGGAGCTGGCGCTGCGCCTCCGGGCGGCCGCCAACGACCGCCTGGCGCGCTACGAGCCGCTGGCGCTCGTCGCCGCGCCGCTCCTCGCGCTCCTCGTCGCGCGGGCCCTCCACGCCGCCGCCAACGCCGTCGCCGACCGCGGGCTCGTCGCCATCGCCATCGCCGCCGTCAAGTCAGCGCCCGGCCCCCGCCCTTCTTGCTTGATTCCTTATGCCCGCCTGCCCGTTGACGACTGCGTCTAAGCGGCACGTACTACTACTAGCGTTGCTTGCTCATCTAGCTCTGCTCTGCTCTCCGCAGGTTGCTGCCGGGAGTCTCCGGCTACATCGCGGCGGAGAAGAAGAAGGTGAGGAACTAACTAATTGTTACTGCTACTGATGCATCTCATTCTTACACGCCGGAAAAGAAAACAAAGATTCAACAAAATCTTTCTGCTGCCTTCGTACTTGCGCCAATCGATCGAGAAGAGTTCGTGTTTTTTCTGTCCCCTCGTGCTCCACTATCGATTGATTGTGCAGTGTGAATCAGATTGTTGCAGGTAGATAGCCAGTAACTGTTTCTCTTCTCCTTATGAAACTTGCCAGCCCACAACTTTGTTTCCGTCAACATATTTTGACGTATGCGCCTTCAAAAAGATGCTTTTCTGGTGAAGTGCCAAAGTCCAGTACGCAGCTTCGCTGTCAGTACTGTTCACATGGTCACGTTGCCGTTGCACCTTGCACCACGAGTAGGTCTGTTTTCTTCTTGGTGCTACTCATAGCTTCTCCTCTAAATCTGGCTGAGTACACGGATCTTATAGCTGCTTTCGTGCACGCAAAATGCGCCTTCATTCCAAGGCTTGTGGTCCTTGATCAATTATTATATAGGCTCCGTTCGCTTCGCTGAAAAAACAAGCCGAAACACTGTTCCGACTGATTTGTTGTGAGAGAAAAACACTGTTCCGGCTGAAAAAATAAGCTGAAAAGTACGGATTATAAGATAAGCGAGCATGACCATATCGTTTACTAATTCTGAGATGACATCTATATGCATGAAACATAGTGGACTGCCTACCCTGATCACTCTTGTGATTACTTTTCGTACATGATGTATGTACTGTATATGCTTCCTATTTTTTTTAGATTACGATATGCTTCCTGTTGACATACCTTTATTATATATATAATGTATCAAGATATATCCTTTACGAAGTCTCTGCTGCTATTGTATCAGGTTGTTGATAAGATGCAATCCGGCGGTGGGGCCAAAAACGATCGGCGAGCTGAGTTGCCAACTATTGGCCTTGCCGAGCAAGTGATGGAGGAACTTGAAACACTGAAATCCAAAGATGTAGACTGGCAGGGAAAATGCTCTGGCACCGTGTATGTGCACCTCATTCTCACAGACAAATACTGAAACTAGTGCATCCCACCCCGTTCCAATGTATTAGACTTTGATTTGGTTATTATGTTGTAAACTACTCATTCTTTTCTAGTATCAAACAAAATTTATTGGTTAACTTTTCTTGCAGATATATTGCTGGAAGTGAGTCTGAGGGCCATTTTGAATTGATAAACAAGGCGTACTCTATGTAAGACTGATATTTCCTTTATGTCACTTTCAATCTTGATTGATCCAATGAACGCATACTTCTCATGGATCTCATATAAATGCGACATGCCTTTCTCAGCTTAAACAGGAAATATAGCAACTCTGTGATTGCATTTTATATCTAAGTTTGAGAATGTGCCTTCATTGAGAACTCATCAGTGGGCGAAGAACGAATTCCAAATCATTGCTGGTGTTTGTGGAATGCCTTTTTTTTATTAATCAATGCTCAAAGTTTCCATGTGATTCTACTTATTTTATTTTAGCCCTTCCATAATTTAATTTAGACTCAAAAATTCTGATCTGTTATGTTGATTACGGGTACCACATCAGTACAACAACAACATAGCCTTTCAGTTCCAAGCAAGTTGGGGTAGGCTAGAGTTGAAACCCACCAATAGCCCTAAGTCACGGTTCAGACACTTCAATAGCTGCTTTCCAAGTACTCCTATTCAAACATAGATCTCTAGATATATCACAAGCTTTCAAATCTCTTTTTATTGTCTCCCCCAATGTCAATTTTGGTCTTCATCAACCTCTCCTCATATTATTAGCTTGACTTAGGACTTCACAATGCACTGGTGCCTCTGGAGATCTCTTTTGGACATGGTCAAACCACCTCAACCGATGTTGGACAAGCTTTTCTTCAATTGATGCTACCTCTAGGCGATCACGTATATCATTGTTCCGAACCCGGTCCATTCTTGTGTGACCGCAAATCCATCGCAACATATGCATTTCTACAACACTCAGTTGTTGAACATGTCGAATTTATATAGACGTTTTAAAAGAAATCTTTTTTCAGGTTTTCACACACCAATCCGCTCCATCAAGATGTATTCAAGAGTGTGGCAACCATGGAAGCTGAAGTAGTTGCAATGACAGCTGCTTTACTTGGCAGCAAAGAAAAATCATCTGGTGGACAAATTTGTGGCAACATGACATCAGGTGGAACTGAAAGCATATTATTAGCAGTCAAAACAACACGTGACTATATGCGATCAAAGAAAGGAATTACAAAGCCTGAAATGTGAGATAATGGTTGATTATGTTTGATTTTCTCGACAAGTACCTTTTTCTTTTGCAAGTTCTACACCTTCTTGTCTCTATGGTAAGAAAAGGTTATTGTACACAGGATAATGGCTGAATCAGCACATTCTGCGTATGACAAAGCTGCTGAATACTTCAATATTAAAGTGCGGCGTGTACCTGTGAACAAAGAGTTTCTTGCAGATGTGAAAGGATTCAAACGATGCATAAATGGAAACACCATAATGGTAAGCTTTTTCATGATTTTAAGTCATATATAATGGTCCTCAATGTTCTTGCCCAGTATGGAATATCGATGGAAACACCACAAAGGAACATTATATATAATGTCTCCTAACAAACTCCTGTTGTACAGATGATTGGATCTGCACCAGAATTTCCGCATGGTTTAATCGATCCTATTGAGGTATGAAGCTAAATTATTATCATGTTAAAACATTACTATGTCATATAATTCTTAATGCATGACTGGTTTGTTGGTTGCTTCACAACATATCTCCAGGAACTTGGGGAACTGGCTTCGCGCTATGACATTTGCTTGCATGTTGATTTATGCCTTGGTGGCTTTGTACTGCCTTTTGCTCGTAAGCTTGGGTATGAGTTCTCTTCATAGCCGTTAGTTTTTCCTAGCCATATTATTTTACTAGGTATCTGTACTTTGAAGAACTTACTAGACAATTTCAGAATGACCCATCTATTTATTGCAATAACTTGATGATTGGCCTAACAATATTTCCTCATTCGGATAAAAGTAAAGTGCTGAATGCCTAGAATTGATTATTTGTAGGATCGTAACAACATGGTTCCTGTAGGTTGCAAAATTTTCTTGTAACCCCTCCATATGCGCACCCCAACTTGAAGCAGGGCAAATGATTATATGTTTTCATCTTAAAACACTTTGTTCATTCAAATTCTCTAAGTTAATGTTTGAGCCTGGTGCAAGCGGTAGAGTCTTTACCGCCTGTGACCGGAAGGTCCCGGGTTCGAGTCGCGGTCTCCTCGCATTGCACAAGTGAGGGTAAGGCTTGCCACTGACACCCCCGCACAGAGCGGGAGCTCTCTGCTCTGGGTACGCCTTTTTTTTTAATGTTTAAGGTTCAGGAATTTTATTTAGATTTGTTTGCCAGCCAACATCAATTGCCTCTATGTAAAAACTTTCATCATTGACGATAAATAAACTTAAAAAATGGTTAAAACTAAATGTGATATATGATAACCACATATGAAAGCAATATGTTTGATTGCTGTGATCTGAAATATAATTGGAGATGAACAAAAGCGTCTGGTTAAAGATCAGCTTGTGACGAATCTTGATTAGTTTTCTCTGTGTATATTTGCCTTCCCTTTTGTGGGACATTGGTTGATTTTCAGAATCTAGGAAGAATAGCATTATGTCAGTAGTATCCATTAAATCTTTTGTTTGTGAGCTTTGATTTTCTGAAAGTGCTACATTTTTTGTATTTTTTTGTGTTTTATCTGCAATATGTGCAGGTACCCTATTCCTCCTTTTGATTTTTCTGTCAAGGGTGTTACGTCAATCTCATCAGATGTTCATAAGTATGGATTAGCACCAAAAGGCACAAGCATTGTCCTGTACGGAAATCATGAAATTAGAAAGGTACCATGGTATATCTGTCTTTACTTTACTCGACCAAATTCTAACATTTTCCTCTCCGTGTGATTCACTCTGACATCTTGGATATCACCAACAAATTCAGCATCAATTTGTTGCTGGTAAGCTCTTCCTCTTCTTCCAAAATTAAATGAAACCTCTTTAATGAACTTATGTATTTTTAACTTCTGTTTGTATTAATGTCATATCATGGTTTCCATTATGGAAAATACATAATTTTAACAGCGTAGCAGGTATGAACATGTTGGAAATATAGCTGGAAGAAACTGTTAGTTGTAAATTTTTTTAAGAAAAAATAGTCTGGAGAAGTTGGCTGTACTTCCGCTATCTGTGGAAGTAGTACTTGGTTCCTGAAAATCATTTGTTATCTTAACTTATTCGAGTCTTCTTCAAAAGTTTGAATAGTGATTAATAATTGCATTTGTGTTTCCTTGTTTGTTCAGTTACTGAGTGGACCGGTGGGCTTTATGTTTCTCCCACTATGGCTGGAAGCAGGCCAGGTGGATTAATTGCGGGAGCTTGGGCTGCTATGATGTCTCTCGGACTGAATGGTGATAAACACAAACTTATTTTGAAATTCCATCAGTGTGTAGTGGTGTCTTAGAATCAAATAGTACTTTGTGATGTATACCATTGCTTTTCTTGCTTCCAGGCTACTTGGACAGTACAAGCCGTATCATGGAAGTTTCGAAGAAAATACAAAGAGGGTAAACTTGTTTGCTTATTATGCCTGAACGCTGAACTATAAGACATAAGACAAACTCTGACTATAACTATGTTTGACCCATTTTTGTTTATTTAATTATTGTAACTTTTTAAATTGAAGTAGTATTCACTCAAATATTTATTTTCTACTAGTATGCATGGTCAAATGCCAAATTAATTAGCACACTTGTAATATTTCTATATTAACAATAGATGTGCTTCCTTTTGTTGTGACTGGATCATCAAAATGGATCACCGCTTAGCTGTGGGTAAAATTTTATGGCTTGTGCAGGATTGGAGAGATCCCAGGGTTGTTTGTGATTGGGAAACCAGATATGACCGTTGTGGCGTTCGCCTCAGATGTTGTCGACATATTTGAGGTGAACGACATACTGTCATCAAAAGGTTGGCATCTCAATGCTCTGCAGAGACCTAACAGGTAAATCCTAGTTTCAGACAAACAATATTGTACCTTCACTCCAGCAGCCATCGGTGCTATTTTGCATTCTCGGCTAGTCTGACGATCCTTACTGGTTTCAGTTTGCACATTTGTGTGACCCTTCAACACACGACTATTTACGACCAATTCCTGAAGGATCTGCAAGACTCTGTGAACACTGTGAGTTGCTCAGCACGTGTTATGTTATGTCGCCTAATGGCTATTATTACCCTGATCCATTCCATCGCTAGGAAAGGCCATATGTTCTTATTACTAGCTGGCGTTGGCAGGTGAAAGCAAACCCAGGCCCTATTAGCGGTGGAATGGCTCCTATCTACGGCGCCGCAGGGAAGATGCCAGACAGAGGCACGGTGAGGGAGCTGCTTGTGGAGTTCATGGACAGCTCTTGCTGAACTGATTAAGTGATTATGGCTTGTGAAAAACAGTCGCAGTGCTGTGATTTGTTTGCCTAGGTATACAAAGTTGTCATAGGAGAGAGGGGAAAGTCATTGAGGCGATACAATCACATTTATTCATGATTACAAGAAGTGTATGATTGTATATCAATATCAGAGCATGCATACCACCAGGCTTACAAATGTATCTGTTCCTATAAAACATTTGTTACATTTCAGGTGTACTCACCCTGTGAATCAGGGGGTATAATCTCCTTACAACTAAAAAAAAAAAACGTGGATAATTTTTTATGCGATATTTGTTTTGGTTCGTCCGTCTGACTACGCCTGCGATCCCGCGGCGCCGCTAGGTGGGACCTCCTCCAAGCTTGCGATCCCTCGAGTCCCCCAACCCTCGCCCCGACGTCTCTCCGGCCCGCGCCCCCCCTCCTGGTGCCCTCGCCCGTGATCGCCCCCCACGCGACTCCTCGGCCTTGTGTAACCCTAGCCGCCGCCGGTTGACGCCACATCCTGGGCTCCGTCGGTGTCGTGGTGGAGGACCGCCTCAACCTACTCTTCGCCCTCATGGAGGGCAAGGACATCACCAGGCTCATCGCCGAGGGCAGGGAGCAGCTCGCTGACGCCACCTCTCCCTCCCTGCCCTCGGCCCTCGTGCACCGCGCCGCCTTCTGCTCATCTTCTAGGACAGCGAGACGCAGCGATACGTGGAGGTCGTCCCCGCTGCGCGCTCGTCGGGGTTGCCGTACCCGCCGTCTTCTTCCTCATGGTAGACGAGGGCATGAAGATCTGCGACCCTGATGCCATCTTCTTCCTCGAGGTACCGCCATCTGCATCTCAGGTGATTGATTCCTCCCTTATCTTATTACTTGAGCTCCTCATCTCTAGATCTGAGCGTCCGCGACGGCACGACGACCATGGCTGCTGTTGCCGCAACTTGGGCGGGGCCGATGTTTGCTACTGATGGCGACTTAGCTTCAGGTTCTGAGGAGGATGAGGGCGGAGGCAGAGGACCAAAGCACAGATCCGGCCGGCGATGACAGCTGCTTCAGCGCTTCCTCTCCAGCTACGAGCCTACGACACCATGTTCCAGACGAAGCAACTGGCAAGTTTCCTTGTGCAAATTTAGGCTCTGTTCTTGTGTGGTATTTTCAAGCCTTCAACGGCATAGAAGATTAGATAGATCTTGGAAACAAGGAATCACATGTCTCTGTTCTTGTGTGCAAATTAGGTTGAGTTCATCTGTTCTCAATCTGAAGTACTGTACTTGTGAAAAAAGTTGAATAGGTGCCGCATCACCTGAATATTTATACAGAAATTACTGACAGTGTTTAGCCTGCATGACTTGCAAGTTAATATGATTCTGGTGTTACAGTATTCTATTCTTGAAGTTTCAAAAAGAATATTCTGTTTTTTAAGGAAAAAAAGTACTCTGTTCTTGTGTAAATTAGATTGAATTCATAATGAGTAAAACTAAAGAACACTGCTCACGGCTCATAATCGCCACAGTATAGGGATACAAACCTAAAAGAGCATGTTCTAATTTTTTTTTCCATTATACAATCTTGCATGACTATTTGACAGGCCAGAACAAAGAAATTTGATACTCCTTCGCCCCTTCCGTTACTTGCTTAATCTTGGGGTGGCGAAATCCACAAATCAACAGCAAGTTTACGGCAAACCTGTAGCCACAGGTTTGTTTCATTTCTCTCCCTTTTCCTTCCTATCTTGGATATGAGTTCTAATTTGGATTTCATATAATTTTTTTATTAATCAAGGCAAAATAAACTATACATGCATATTGGATTTTTAGATTTTGCTTCTTGTGATAAATAATTGACCTTATAGGGCTGTATGCATTCTTTAGTAAGTGAATACATTCCTTTTCTATTTTAGTCATATTATGATAACCAAACAAAGACAATATAGCCAGCGTTCCAGTATAATATATAATTGATATAGATAGGTACTGAGTCATGCAAACGAACTGCACCAATTTTAGCATCATAGTTGCAATGTGATTACTCTCTATTTTATAATTCAATCTGATGCCTAAATATATGTTCAATGCATTCCATTAAAACCAGTCATGTAGCGTTGAACTTTTTATACGATTACTACTGGAAGGGTATGACTATCCCATTAGTATACCAACAAGTGTTACTGCAGTCTTTAGTTATGTCATTAGATGGCTTATGTTACACATAATGAACATAGACATTAAAACCAGTCAGAGAATTATCTGTACACTGCAATCCTTAATTATTTCTAGCTGCAGCCAACTGCCAGATATCCCTATTCCAGTCACACTTATTTCATATTGTCATTTCAGCCACACTTATTTTTGACAAAGGAATATATGCAGGCAGCAATACTTTTGCACTACCAAGTGAGCAGGTCAGTACTTAACCACGCATTTGTTTGATTTTTGTTTTGTACATGTTGCTGCAAGTATGTCTGTATCTGTAGCAATACTTTTGCACTACCAAGTGAAGTTTATTTAATAGCTGTTTACCTTCTCGCAAAAAATAGCTATTTAATAACTGTTATGCACTGCTATCTGTGCTTATATGATGATGGCAACGTCAAAAACTAGCTGAAAGTCTGAAACTTCAAATCCATGAAGTTTCCTGAAGAAATTGCATATATATATATATACACCTATGACATATAAAGCCATGCATGCTTCAAAATATTTATGTCACTATTGCAACCCTCACTGTTTTGGAGAACATCCTTTTAAGCTTAATCCATATTTTTCGGCTGCCGACATGGAACCTTACTGAAGTGCAAAAAAAGAAGAATAAGTTTTATCTTGAATTATTGCATCTCATACATGCTAAATCCCTAGATTGGATAATTTGTTTGTCTATGGTTGTATGCGCTTGTAGGTCATGGTTGCCACGTGGTGTTGTCAGCATAACTGCACTGTTTCCATGCAGAACATGTTGGAGCTAGAGACCTTACAGATCTATTTTTTTATTAGTTGCACTGGTTTGCCAGCAAAGTAAAAGAAAACCTGTTTCTAAAGCATGTATATACATGTGTCTCAAACTTTTTTTTTAGAAATTAGGAGGAGCCGGTGGCTCCTACTGCAATTATTTTTTGCTAGTTTTAACACAGACTATTTGTATTTTCTCCCTTAATCCATATTTATTAGCTTGGAAGGTTAACTTTTTTTTAACATATTACCATTTGTAGGGCCTTGGAGCAGTAGCTATCAAACTTATACAATTTGTTCAAACATACGGTATATCATGTGATCATTTAAATAGACAATTTCGTCCAATACTGCCGATCAGCATATAGTTTAATTTCAGCCCAAGCACGACCACTAGCGGTCCAGCAAAACTGCTTTAGTTTGTTTTAGTTCTTAAGACAATTCAATTTTCAATTTTGAATTTTTTATTATTATTTTCTAACTTGTTGGAGCTGTGGACCTTGCGGATGTAATTTGTCTATTGCATATGAACCTTGGTGGATGTAATTTGTAATCCATTTATTTAGGCATTGTTATGAGTAGGGGTGAAAATGGTACGGATATTTTTCGACCGTATCCGAGACCGAATCCGTTTAGAGGGTTTAGATCTATCCGTGTCCGAGTCCGGATATTCAATATTGGTATTTATTGACGCACGAAAGAAATGGATATCAGAGATTTCTCCCGACCAATATAAAACATTATCTTAGCCATATCACGGAAAAGATCTATAAAGTAGAGTTTGTGAGCCTGCGACGCCGCGCTCTCCGTGACTTATGTTAATTTCACACACTTTGTTTTTTGATTAAATGTCACTTTAACATTGGTATTTAATTTTTATAGTATTATTATCTTATCGTACGATCCGAATGTTTTTAATATAAAATATTAGTTATTCCATAGCAACACACGGACATGCTACCTAGTAATAACAATAATAGAAAAGATTTGGTAGCAAGAATACGTTTTCGGGAGACTACAATACGTCTTGTCACCAACAAGCGTATTTTGGGAAGGTAATAAAACACCACGCACTTTCAGGATTTGAACCAACGACGGTTAGTTCAGAGCCCCGGCCGTGCGGCAGCGCGGCACGGCGGTTGGTGAAGCAGGCATCAGCTATCAGGGCATCAGGCGGCGACGGAGGCGGCTGCAGAAGGCAATACCCCGGGGCGAGGGCGCGATACCGCGAGGGGCTGAGGAGGTGGCGGTGCCGCGGATTGCCCATGCCGCCATGCGCCCATTCAAGCCCACCGCCGGCGCCTCCACGCCGGCGGACGCGCGCATGGTCAAGGCGGGCTCCGACCCATCCACCTACCGCCTCGAACTCCACTTCAACCATCTCGTCTCCTCCGGCCGCCTCGCGGCCGCCGGCAAGGTGCTCGACCAGATGCCCGAGAAGAACACCCTCTATCTCAGATCACTCAACCGCCTCGAACTCCACCTCAACTACCTTGTCTCCTCCGGCCGCCTCGCGGCCGCACGCAAGGTGCTTGACCAGATGCTCGAGAAGAGCACCCTCTACCTCACCCTCTACCTCAGATTCCTCAACCGCATTCTCTTGGGATGCTCCAGGCCCTGCGACCTCGCCGCCGCCAAGGCGCTATTCAGCGCCGCGGCTTGCCGCAACGCCAAAACCTGGACAATCATGATGAGCATGCTCCCCGCGGACGGCCGTGGCTCCGATGCCGTGTTGTCGCTCTTCCGAGACATGCTCAGGGAGGGCGAGGCGCCCGACGACGTCACCGTCACCACCGTGCTCAACGTGCCTGGCTGCGCTGCGATGTCGGGACACTCCATCCCGTGGTCACCAAGCTCGGCTTTGGCGCCAGTGTTGTCGTCTGTAACACGCTGCTAGATGCGTACTGCAAGCAAGGATTCATTGCTGCTGCTCAGAGAGTCTTCCTGGAGATGCCACACAGGGACACCATCACGTACAATGCCATGATGATGGGCTGCTCCAGGGAGGGGCTGCACGGGGAGGCACTAGAGCTATTTGCTGCTATGCGACGTGAGGGCGTTGACACCAGCCACTTCACGTTCTCAAGTTTGCTAACCGTAGGGACAGGTATGGTTGATCTCCACCTTGGGTGTCAGATCCATGGTCTCTTTGTCAGGGCCAACCCATCACGTAATGTCTTTGTCAACAATGCATTGCTTGATTTCTACTCGAAATGTGACTCCCTTGGTGATCTGAAGCAGTTGTTTGATGAGATGCCAGAGCGGGACAATGCTTCATATAATGTGATGATATCTGCCTGTTCTTGGAACCGATGTGGTGGCATGGCTTTGCAGTTGTTCAGGGATATGCAGACACTCGGCTTTGACGGCAGGCCTTACCATATGCTAGCTTGCTCAGTGTAGCTGGGGCACTGCCTCACATTAAGATTGGGAGACAAATACATGCATAATTGATCCTTCGTGGCCTTACTTCAGAGGATTTCGTGGGAAATGCCCTGATTGACATGTACTCAGAATGTGGTATGCTAGATGCTGCAAGGACTATTTTTGCATACAAAAGTGACAAAACTGCCATTTCCTGGACCGCGTTGATAACTGGGTGTCCAGAATGGGCAGAATGAGGAAGCATTGCGACTATTCTGTGACATGAGAAGAGCTGGTCTAAGTCCTGACAGGGCGACATGTTCTAGCATCATGAAGTCTTCCTCAAGCCTAGCAGTGATTGGGATTGGAAGGCAATTGCATGCTTACCTCACAAAATCAGGCCACATGCCCAGCGTGTTCTCAGGTAGTGCCCTTCTTGATATGTATGCAAAATGTGGTTGTTTGGATGAAGCCATCAGAACATTTAATGAGATGCCCGAGAAGAATTCCATCACGTGGAATGCTGTAATTTCAGCATATGCGCAATATGGACAGGCAAAGAATGCCATCAGGATGTTTGACAGCATGCTTCATTGTGGTCTTTGTCCAGATCCAGTCACTTTCTTGAGTGTGCTAGCAGCCTGTGGTCATAATGGTCTTGCGGAAGAATCCATGAAATACTTTGACCTGATGAGATATTACTATAGCATGTCACCCTGGAAGGAACACTATTCTTGTGTTATCGATACCTTGGGTCGGGCAGCTGTTTCGATAAAATTCAGAAAGTGTTAGATGAGATGCCATTTGAGGATGATCCAATAATATGGAGCTCCATTCTTCACTTGTGCAGGATCTACGGAAACCAGGATTTAGCTACAGTGGCTGCTGAAAAATTGTTCACTATGGTGCCCACAGACGCGACTGCCTATGTCATACTGTCCAACATATATGCTAAAGCTGGTAATTGGGAAGGTGCTGCACGTGTGAAAAAGATTATGAGAGATAGAGGAGTTAAGAAAGAGTCAGGTAACAGTTGGGTTGAAATCAAGCAAAAGATCTACATCTTCTCTTCTAATGATCACACCAACCCAATGATAGATGAGATTAAAGAAGAGCTTGAGAGGTTGTACGAAGAGATGGATAAACAAGGCTATGAGCCCGATACTAGCTGTGCCTTGCATATGGTGGATAATAAGGAAAAGTTGGAGTCACTGAAATACCACAGTGAGAGATTGGCCATCGCGTTTGCCTTGATTAATACCCCACCAGGGACACCAATTACGGTTATGAAGAACTTGAGTGCCTGCCTAGATTGTCATGCTGCCATCAAGATGATATCGAAGATTGTGAACAGAGACATTATCGTAAGAGACTCACGCAGGTTTCACCATTTCAAGGATGGGTTTTGCTCTTGCAGAGACTACTGGTAGGAACTTGGCTGGCTGGCTAGTTAGATGAACAATAAAAGTTACACACTGAAGGTCGACAGGAACCCATATTTCAGGTATAGTGTATGTACTAATGATAAACTGATCGTAGTGATGTTCTTCGCATCACCATTATGGTGCAATGTTGTTAATGGTATTTAAGTTCCTCAGTTTTATTTTCGGGGACAAAAAGGTATCAATGGTTTTCTATTGCATTTGCATCCATGTCGATGGACCATGGAGGAGTGGAAGTGAATCTGAGATCCATATCCATTTTGCCATTTCAAACAAGGCTTCATGTATTTAAGGTGTGAAATTGTTCCCATTGTAGTTTCCCAAATTTAACCACACATAATAATCGCTGAATCTGAAAATTTCCTGCGTCTGTGAATTTCTATTGCCGCGTTCCTGTCAAAAAAAAATTCTCTGGTCACATTGATATTCCTAGTGATTCAACTGTAGTTCCTGCTGAGTTTGACTACAAGCCAAAAGTCGCATTACGCAGATTCTTAAAATCATGGTATATAGATTTCTATGCATTTATACAGCCTGTTCGGGAGGCCGTATCGTATCGTGGATTATTTACTGCTGGCTGGTTTGGTGTGAGAGAAAAACACTATTCCCGGCTGGAAATTTACGATCGTTTACGAGCAAGCGAACAGGCTGATAGTTGCCATTGTCCTAAATTTGAATACCTTCCCTTTTCTTTAATGTACCTGAAGACTTTTATGGTTTGCGCAGAACTGAAGACAACCCTGAATCATTTGCTGTTGAAACTTGAGTCATAACCACAGTGGTACTTGGCTCAGTTGTAATTGACGTATTCAAGGCGAACAAAGGGTTGTTATCATTCAGCCTTGAGGCCTGACAGGTTAGTGCCTTTAGTTTTGAAGATACACTTTTAGCTGCGATTGTTTCTCTCTTGAGAAGGATGTGTTCCACTGGAAATCCATGATGAGGGAGGTTTTATGTACACTTCTCCTGGTAGCATGTAGCATGACAGCTTATACTGTGTTTGCTACTCTTTGTTAGAAGAGAAATGTCAACTATGGTGAGAAAAGTAAACAAGTCAGGCACAACTTTCCAAAAGCTAAAAAAAACAAATATGGTCACAATAGAGTGTCTGCATATATTTCGAGCATTCCTCTCCCCCCCCCCAAAGACATAATAGTATGAGTGCTACTTCCTTCACACACAAAAAAAAAGTATGGGTGTTACTTGTCTGATAATAAAAATGGGATGTTTTAGTTTATCGGATATTCCATGGATGGGTGAATTATGGTGCCTCCATCAGTGTCGACTCTACGCATTCTTTGGAAATTGGAAATTCAAAAAAAGGAAAGAAAATCTTGGTACCGGCCTGGAGAAAAATATCTTTGCTTGTTTGGAGGCATTGGTGCTGATCTAAAAAATCCGTGGACTGTAGCGAATTCGGTTAGGCAAGGTCTGAACGGCCGGCCAGCCGCACCCTGGTCCTGGTGGGGTTGAGGACTTGAGCTTGAGGCTGAGGCTAAAGCTAACCAAGCGGTCTGTGATGGAGCGCGTCAGTCACACAACTCACAAGATTTTACAGCGTTGCGACTCTATCGCTGTGGAGTGTGGACTCGGCTTTTCCTATTTCTTTGATGATGATGAGGAATGCGGACCAGCAGCCTAGCAGAAATTAGAGCAAAGGTTGACAAAACGTAGGCCTCATTTGCTTCGCTAAAAAAATAAACCGAAACACTGTTCTAACTGATTTATTGTGAGAAAAAAATATTATTTCGACTGAAAAAACAAGCTGAAAAAGATGAATTATAAGAGAAGCAAACATACGACCAATAGTGTGCTATGCGTGCGCACGCTCACACCTTTTTTTTTCTATAATTTTTTTCCTTTTTTTGCTGCAAAAACTACCCAGAGCAGAGCCACGGTTACCAGCTGACCTCTCTCTCGATTCCTTGGGCCGCCTGGTGGCTTTCTTCTTGGTCTCGTTCCTTCGGCTGGATACATGTGGCCACGGCCGCGCTGCTTGCCTTGACTTGCTCTCGATTCGTGGGCATGGCGGCTTCGCCTGCTTGTGCTCCAGGCCTCATCTCCGGCCCCACGCTCCCTCCGCAGCCCGTTATCTTCCGCTGCTACTGGGCCCAAAAGCCCTCCTACGCGTCGTCCACCTCCAGGCGCCCGCGCCGCAGGCGGTTCGTTCCGGTTGCAGCTGCCTCCACCCGCACCTCCCCTGCGGCCGCTCGGGGCCTCGACGCGGACGACTTCCGCCACCCGCTCGACAAGCAGGCTAGCTTTCCTTGATTTGACAAAATCTTTTCTTTCTGTCCACGTATAATCATCGATTGCGGCTGCGGATGATAGATAAAGTTCCTGTCTTCTGAAAGAGAAGCCCTTTTTTTCTTGTTTCACAGAATACTTTGCTGCTAAGAGCGATTCCTGGGCTCAACGACATAGGCAAAGCTTTGTTAGGTCGCTCACTCACATTTCTCCCTCAGCGTTACCAATCCATCTCAACGTAGTATCCTCAACGATTCATTCTTGCTTTCTTTTGCTACTGCAGGACCTGTCTCGGAGCAAGTTATGGTCCTCCAGAACATTGGAACATCAGTTCTCGTCTCCCCAAACCAGGTCCGATCTGCCTGTCGCATTAATCAACTCAATGTATTCTGAACTTCTGCACGCTGATAGCACGCTTGACTGACTGATATCATTGACTTCTGTTGTTTCCGGACCTTACAGTTTGTTGTTTTGTCTATCACCACACCCTACAGGTTACTGTAATTCAGGGAACTAATGATTTGTTTTCTCTCTTCAGCTTCCAGATCTCCACCAACTGCTGGCTGAGGCTGCAACGCTCTTGAACACGGAAGCTCCTGACTTGTACATAAGGCAGAATCCTGTTCCAAATGCTTACACCTTAGCAATCAATGGCAAAAAACCATTCATCGTCGTTCACACAAGCCTTGTGGAGCTGCTTACTCCAAAGGAATTGCAGGTGCTGTTGTGTCTAAACAAACTCATCAACTGACAAAGTCTAGATGAACAATCCAAATAAGAATTATTATTTGCTTACCTAGTGTCTGAATGCATCAATTACTCATCATATAGGATTTGTTTCAATTAGGCTGTTTTGGCTCATGAGCTGGGTCACCTCAAGTGCGATCATGGTGTGTGGCTCACTTTCGCCAATATACTCACAATGGGAGCATACACTGTCCCTGGTAGACCATCTAACCACTTAATATCTCATTAGAAGGGTGGGCTATGTACCTACACTTCATTTCAACCGCATCTCATGGTGAGTGCATGCACTTTCTTCAGGTTTTGGCATGGTTGCTGGCTTCCTGGAAGAGCAGCTATACAGATGGCTACGAGCTGCAGAGCTGACTTGTGACAGGGCAGCTCTTCTTGTTGTGCAAGACCCAAAGGTACCTTCAGTCTGAAACTACCTCATTTTTTAAAGTTGATTTGTATTGAACATGAGGTATAGGCGTATTAGCAGAATAGCTAGCAATGCTACTCTTCTATCTTTGATTTTGCTCTGGAAGTGGACTTTTTGCATGGTGCGGTCATGGATTATATATGACTCTGAGCAAAAGTAGAGGTTCGTGTAGTTTTCATCATCCAAGTAACATTTTTTAGTGCATAGAAAGAGCAGCTGTTCTTCAATTTCGAAGAAAAGGAGCAGCTGCTAGTGAATTTAACATATAATGCATCCATGCTTACTCTACAAGTTGGTATCTTCACCTAATACTAAACTCTTGATTGTCGAGAGGTAGTCATCTCCATTCTTGACTGCCTGAAAATACAAATAACTGTCTTGCGTTGTAATGCTTATCCTGCAAGTCTGTGTCATCACTTGATACTTATTCTTCATTGTCAAGAGGTTGTCATCTCTGTTTTGATGAAATTGGCCGGAGGATGCCCATCTCTTGCCGACCAGCTAAACGTGGATGCCTTCTTGGAGCAAGCTCGTTCCTACGACAAAGCTGCATCGAACCCAGTTGGGTGGTACATCCGGTTAGAACTGTTATCACTTGAACCATGATTGGCGACATTAGTGTTGTGGAAATGAGCATGTGTTGTATGACATCTCTTTCTCAATCTCTTTACATGCTGCAGGAACGCGCAAACCAGAGAGCTTTCACACCCTTTGCCTGTGATGCGAGCCCGCGAGATTGATGAGTGGTCAAGAAGCCAGGAGTACAAGACCATAATGCAAAAAATGCTTCAGCTGGAGCTAAACAGAGTATAGTTAGTGGCAACACATACGAAAAGGTTTGTTGACCAAATCCCACATGTTTCTTTGCAAGGATTTAGCTTCAAATCATGACTATTCTTTTGCTCTATATCTGATCATGAGTTTGTGTTTTCCTCCTCGTGGGTGGCTGGGCACCAATTTTTTTCAGGACTGTAGAGTTTGTAGCTTGTGTATGGAAGGTAATGTCTGTATTTGGTGAAGGCTGGTGCTGCTGGAAAACAGATACAAGCATAGACATACTGTATATATTTGCAGTTGAATTTAGTTTCCTTGTATATGCTGTCTTTTTCTTTCTTTCTGTCACTGTGCAATACTGTAACTAGAATAGAATGAATAAAAGTTTATTTGAGTTGCCGGATAACTGGAAGGATCCGCATGATTAGTCTTTCTAAGTCTGAGTCGCGTGACAGTGTCATGCATAAGAGGCTAGGCTATTGTGACTTGGGATCAGGAAGCTACGCCTAGTAATTGAGCTTGGCAAGAAAATCAGGATAATCTTGGCCATTTGGGTTCCGATCCTCCTATCCAGACAGAGCAACAGAGGCTTAATTTGGTTCTCAAACAGATTTTGGCCTCCCGTTACTCTTTAAGAGGTGGACAAAAAGATTGAACCTGGCTTGAATTGGCCTAATTCTGGTGTATTTTGGCTCACATTTGGATGGGGGGGGGGGGGGGACCAACCGACTGGCCGAGAAAGGCCACACCTGTCCGGCGGTCCCGCCTCCTCCACCCGGGGAGCAGCTGCTTGCAGCCACTGGCACTGCAGTCTGCAGAGGAGGAAGGAGGTCCAAAGCCCAAAAGGCGGAAAGGCGATCAACACGTACACGTACGATAAAGATGGGGATGGCATTGGCATCGCCATTGGCCATTGCCGCCGGTGTCACAGGTAGGTACACCGCTCCCCTTCCCTGCCTGCCTGCTCAAGTGCTCATCTACTGGTGCCCTGACTGTTTTGACTCTATCCGACTCCGAGTCCGAGGTAGGGCTTGTTGCGTTCCAGGATGAGCTTCCTCGCTCCGTCGCCGCCGCCGCCGTCGCTCAAGGCAGCCGCGGGCGTTCCGGCGGCCGGAATCAGCATCCCGTGGCCGCGGCAGCGATTGGATGGTCTCCGTTTGCGAGCAGCCCCAGCAAGTCTTCCTCGGCTGGCATCAGTGGTATCATTTATCCTGGATTTCCTGTCCTCCGTTGCATCAATCATATACATGCCCAATGCGCAATCGGGTGGCTTTGATTGAAATCGCACGCAGCAAAGCGCGGTGCTGGACATCGAGGGCACGACGAGCCCTATCTCGTTCGTGACGGACGTGCTCTTCCCCTACGCCCGCGACAACGTCCGCAAGCACCTGGACGCCACCTACGGCACCCACGAGACCAACGACGACATCGCCCTGCTGCGCGCTCAGGTCAGCTTTCCCGTTCCCCGTCTCCCGTCATGCTGAATGCCGCTGCTGAATTGCATTGCTCAACAGCCAATGAACTTCGGCTCCTTCTGAAAGAGACCGGCTTGGAATCTTACAGGTCGAGCAGGACCTAGCCGAGGGCGTCGCCGGCGCCGTCCCGGTTCCGCCGGACGAGGCTGGAAAGGACAGCGTCATCGACGCTCGGGTCGCCAACGTGATCAGGCGGATAGGAAAATAACCTCACTGAAGCAATTGCAGGTACTGATACTGATAACTGGCTACTTACTCTGTCTACTGACACTATCCGGCAATTCCTTCAGTTTCAGGTTGAAAATCTGGCCAGGTCAGATTCAGAACACCCTGAGATGATTTGATTCAGAACACCCTGAGATGATTTCTCATTTTCTCTTCATTGGTTGAAGGGCCACATCTGGAGGACTGGGTTCGAGGGCCAAGAAATCAAGGGAGTGGTGTTCGATGACGTGCCACCAGCTCTCGAGAAGTGGCACGCGAGCGGCATCAAGGTTCTCGCTCCTCCTCTACTAATAAATTTATATATGTGGATACGTACATTGATCATTCCAGAGCACATTTTACCATTTGTCATCAACCATATACACTGATTGACTAACAGCTTTGCTGAACTTAGTTTGATTTACATATGCTTGCAGACATACATATATTCCAGTGGTAGCAGAGAAGCCCAGAGGCTTATTTTCGGGAACACTACCTACGGCGACCTTAGAAAGCACCTGTGTGGATTTTTTGACACGACAATTGGGTACGCTGTACAGCTAATATCACCTTCCGTTCATTGATTCATATCACTCTATATGACTGTGATTGTTAATTTATCCTTTTGGCGTCTGCAATGAAGAACCAAGAGAGAAGCTCACAGCTACTACGAAATCTGGCAGTCCGTTGGGGTAGATCGGCCGTCTCAGATTTTGTTCTTGACAGATGTGTATCAAGAAGCCACAGCAGCACAGGCCGCAGGTGAGCTTCTCACCACATTTTTCCTTGCTAAAAATCCAACATGTACTACGAGAATATCTACCAGTTAGACAACTTAGATTCATGTACTAGGAGAACCATCCAATACGACTAAAATCCAACATGTAGATACAACACTTTTCCTTTGGGCAATTTTCCAACTATTGAAATTGCCAACCTCAGGGCAAATGGCAATTCACAAATCAAGTTGCACATCGATCACATCCATGTAGATGGCAATGGTCAAAATGTCAATCTTTCAGAAACTCATGCTGTCATGAATTGTTTAAACTTTTTACAGGCCTTGAGGTACTAATATCTATCAGACCTGGAAATGCGCCACCCCCTGAAAACCATGGGTTTGAGACAATCAAGTCATTTGCTGAAATCTTGACATGAAAGATGCATCTTCGACATGCCATATGCAGAAATTGTTATTTTAGATGGAAACAAACTAATTCCAGATTAGATATATGTAAACTAGCACAGTTAACAATATATAGCAAGTTAAAGGCAGACGGAATGGTTTGAAGACTTTTGATTGTGACTTGTTATGAACAAAAACAGGAAATACATAGATATTTCTTATTTCACAAAAAATCCTTGTGCTACAATGCATTTGTAGAAAGATCTATATATTGGGTGAAATGTGTTTGTAAGGTGATCAATGTATTGAGCAATGCTACAAAAATGACCAACATAGAAGCTCAACAACACATAAACATGAGCAAGACAGACCTTGGTCTCATTTGCATCTCCTTCACACTAGTTTTACATTGCCATTCATCTGTTGCACATGTTTCAATTGATAACAAATCCACTTCCTGAATCCAGTCAAACAACAAATATTGTCACATCTATAATGTGTACAGAAAGATACCCACAACAAATGGACAAAAGCTCAAAAGATGAGAACCTGCAGAGGGACACAGAGTCACAGACTATATTCCCTCACCTTAATCTTGCATTTCAATGTCGGTGGATTCAAGCTTCATACTGCTCGATTGAATGGAGACAACCAGATCCTCAATTCTTAGCGGAACATTCCTTGCCACATGCTGGAACAAAGTTTTGAGTGGCCACATGCAAAAGCACGGGCACGATTCGGCTTTCCAACAAACTGCAGCTCACCGATTTGCATGTTCCCATCCACAAGTTTCACACTTCCATCTCTAACAGCAAAGCGGAGAAGGTTCCCTGGTCGCCGGTTTGACTTCCGTATGAATTCACTGTACAGACCACCAAATACAATAGGAGGATCGTCAGAAGTAACTACCTTGCCATCTTCTTGCAACTCCAGCACAAGATGCTGCTCACTTGGTATTTCTCCCTTACTATCTTTCCATACTAGCGCGAGCGGTGTGATTCCAGCTTGATAATGTGCATGTTTGCTGTTTTTTTTTCAAGAATACGCAAAAGATTTGCGTATCATTGTAACTAAGAAGAAGAGTTTAAGCATACACGCGACACGCTTCTAATGAGCGCTCTAGGAGGTCTTACATCTGGACCTTCCTAGCAGTTTGTTTCGAACTTCGATATTACATAAAAGTAAACAACCGAACTAAGAGCAGCGCAGTAACCTACGAAGCTGGGCGTCTCCGCTGCTGGCCGCGCGACTCTGCTCCGTCATCTGAGAAGAGTCTTCTACCAGTCCTAGCATTGGTCGCCGGGAACAGCTCGCCTAGAGCTTCCACTTCGCTCGACGTCAAGTTCCCTGCGAATAAGTCGCCGTATGCTCGCTTAGACGCGGATGAAATTGGAGCTATCGGCGGTGCAAAGCCCATCCTTTGCATGAGGAGCACCTCGCCCCGCTTAGAGGTCAGAATGTGCGTCAGCGGCTGAGCGGCGATCTGTCTACTCCTTTTTGGCAGGGGTTGCCTTGTGGTTGCCACTTTCTGCCTTGGTGGGCTGGCGATTAAAGGCGACATTCGCTTGAGTTGCATCTCCTCGGTGAACCGAGCTAGACGCGGGGCAGCTTCGCATGGTGTGGGCGTCACGTCGCTGTGGGTGGTGCAGTCATCTGCGACGTCGGGTTGTCCCGCCCGTGGTGGCGTGAGCTATGCCCTGTGTCGGCCCCTGCACTGGCGACAACAGAGCCGTTGCCAGGGAACAGGTGCCCACCACTGGTGCTTCAACCTCCTGAGGGGCTGCCGCTGTCGCCTGAGTAGGTAGACACTCAGGTGTTGCTGCACTCATTGGCCGGCTCATGACGAGCGAGGCAGCAAGCTCCTCCAACATCGGGTCGAACGAGCCGACCCATACGGGAGGTCCCGTGCTCGCACACAGCGCCAATGCCAACGGATCTGGCTCAAGGAAGCAAAGTATAGTAGCCGAAGAAGTGGCGTTGTCAGCAGGCGTGCCCCTGCTGATGTCCCTCGCCGGCTTACTCCATCGGCGGCGGCGGCGACAAGTGCTGTCGGTGCCCCACCCCCCTGGCCCCTTGTGCGGCCCCATCCGAGCTCGGTGGACCGCCATGTGGCTCCTAGGAGGCCGGAGGGTCGCCATGAGGAGAGTGTCATGGCAGGTTGCCACCCTTCATCGCCGACTTCGCAGGCCTGGGCCGCTTACAGTCCCTGGGGAGGTGGCGGTAGCCGTGGCAGCGCAGGCAACATCGTGGTAACCGGCAAGTTGCGCCACGGTGCAAGTAGGAGAGACAGTTAAAGCATCTGTCGCGAAGCTCTGCGGGGATCCTCCGTGCTTGCGGGAGCTACTTTTGACGATGCTCAACCGAGGAGGTTGCAGGTTGCGTCTCCTGTCGTGGGAGGATCTCCCGCCACCTATCGGCGTTGGGGCCGGAGACCCTTCTGCGACGACCAAGGCGTTGGCGGGCAAGGATACGGCCATCCAATGGACAAGCAGGCAGGCTGTGCACCAGCTGGGGGCGCGGCCAGCTGCGTCTCCTCCACCTTCTTCCAGGTCCCTGCCGTCCATCGACCACCACGTCATGGCCCAGAGTCGTGACCGGACGAGCTTGGGTACCTTAAGTATGCTGCTTGAAGACCCTGAAGAGTGCATTCATATATAGGGACGACACTGAATTTATATCTGTGATATGCTAATGGAGGATCGCCGGCAGAAGTTTCTATGAGTTTAGAATTCAACCAGAAAAACCTGAACTCTGCGGCGTAATCATGCATCGAATAGCCTCGCCAACAAATCATGTCGATGATGTAGTATGTTTCATCAGGCTGCACCACAAGCAAAATAAAAATGTTAAAAAACAGACAGAAGCAGCAAGTGAGTACAAGTAGATTGCACCAAATGAAAAAGGAAATGTGTTAGGTTTAGGTACCTCTTGAAAAATACAATCAAGGATGGAGTAACTCGCTGGGCCAGAAGTATCTTTTGATGATCCATTTGGTAGAGCAGAAGGGAACCGATGAAGAATGGTTCCATTACGTCCTCTGCTCACTGTCATGCCATTAGTTGACACGACCAAACATCGTTTGCCAGATGGCCTAGCGAAAACATACGTATCTAATAAAATGAAAGGGAAAAAAATAGTAGTGCCAATCATAATGTTGAAGACTTATGCAACTTTGAAGACATGATATGAGTAACTGATGACCAGAGATTGAATAAATGTAAGTGTATTATATATGATTTTTTTTGTTATTTTCAACGGGGCAACAAGGAAACAAGACGAATATTTCGTAATGTTTTTGCAGAAGAGTAGAGAGGCAAAATGAAATAAATCAAACCAAATTCAGATAAGTATGTGCTAGATAAAAAGGACAGTGGGAACGAGAGTAGCAAACCAGTGATCTGGTGGGGCGGGGCGTCGACCATCCACTCGGGGTCGGGGAGCATGATCTGGCGAGCGAACCACGGGCGTGCATTGGAGCCGCGGAGCCTGGAGGGTGGAGGCGGCCGCCGCGACGTCAGCGATGATGTTCTCTTGCTGTTCTTCATGCTCGTCGTCCTCGTCGTCGTTGAGGTTGGTGGCCGGCTAGCCGCAGTAGGGATCTGGGCCGCCCTGTGCGAGTAGGCTAAGGTTCCAAAGTGCGACGTGGATGCGATGCACCATCGAGGGCCCCGTGGCCACCCATGCTGCTCGCCGCGAGTCCGCGCCCATCGGCGTTAGGAGGAGGTAAGGTCGGGCAAGGCTCGTCGGCGTCAAGTCGCGTGCGCGCGCGGTGTGCTAGAAGCTTAACATATGTAGGAAACGATGGTGTGATAAACCAGGCTCCTCTGAACGTCACCATTGTAGGATCTCCGGCCAGCCGCCGGGCCGCCGGCCGCTACCACTTGACCTAACGCTATGGCACCATCACCAACGGTGAACCGCGAGGACGGGGGACGCGCGCTTCACCATGGACGGAACGAGCAGTGCCAGCATGCATCATGTCATCACGGACGTACGGAACCAGCAGCCGTCGCAGCCACCACCATGACCTTCAGTGCGCCTGGATCCGAGCATGCATGCCCAGGGACATGCGGCCGAGGAACTCGACGGCCCTCTGCCCCCCGCCGTCGCTATCTGTGATCCCCCTCGCTGGGCTACCAGCAGCTCAGCTCACGGACACGGGCTTGCTGCCCCTCCGAGCGGCGCCGTGTCTGCAGGCCTCGCATCCAATAATCCAGGATTTTCCCCACCGATAGCTGCTCTAGTAGGAGAGCGGAGGAAAATGGCGGGCTCTGTGAGATATAATAATTACACCAAAAGATAAAAGATGATTTGTTTAAACAAAATCAATTTGTAGCAAATACGCAGAAATTCACTATGTCTGATAAAAATAGGGATTTGCTATTTATCTATCAAAACAAATTTCTTCACAACAAAACTGTCAAATATATCGAATTTATCACCTCACGATTTAGCATAAAGATTCGCATCACAATTCTCCTTCATCTTCATCAACTCCGACATGCGGCGGGTGGGATGATGAGACAAGACGAGCGTGACGGCAAAATGGCAAGGCGGTGAGGAGGCAGCAAGGAAGCGACGAGGAGACGGTGAACGGTGAGGCGGTGAGGAGGTGTGGCAAGGTGGGATGGCGAGGAGATAGCGAAGTGTGGCGGCCAAAGGAGCGTCGTCGGCGTTGAAGGCGAAGAAGTCCCTTAACAACGCTCATGAGGGTTCGAAACAATCTCGTCCCCTACCAGTCTTGCATTGACAATGTGAATCCACTATATCGCTTCGGATAAAGTTCAAGCTCCGCCTGAGTAATGAGTGTAGTTCCAGACTCTTAAGAAACGCTACCTTAGGGTTGCTCCGAAGGAGTTTCTGTATCATTACCACCACTAACAAAACCTCGCAATACTCTTCGTTTGGGCCATCTGCAAATACATTCGGAGGTAGCAAAAATCACCGAGCATGAGCACGACAAAGTAGACCATTCAAGATTAAAGGTAAACAACGATAACCTACCCTCGAAGTAAGAAAACCAAAGGACCTA